GTTGGAAGCATTAGTCTTCATTCTACGCTTGAGTGAGCGAGCTCGCGACGCCGACGGCAGGAGCGGGGATATAGACCGAGGGCGGAAATTCAAGAAAAAACTGCGATAAGGAGAAAAACGTTGTCGGGAAGCTATTGGGAATCACCCGCGCCGACCGCCCGCTATATCCTATGCTCGGTCCGATCGACCGACTGCCTGCCTGACGGTCCCTCCGATCGTCCGACCGACTCGCCGTTTGTTGGTGTCTCTGTCTGCCTATCCGTCGGTCCGTCGACCGGCCGGTCGGTCGGTAGCCTCAGCACAGGCATTGGAGAAAACGCGGAACACATTTGAACTGCAGCGACGTCGACGCGACGTCGACGAGCCGGGATTGCTGGGTCTGCCGCCTCTGCTTTGCTCGTTCGTTGGCTCGGCATCTTTTGACGGTGGCGGCAGCGGCGGCGGCCTCGGCCTGAGTGGAGTAAGCTGGAGCGATGCTCGTCGCTGGAATGATAGAAAGCCTTCGGGCGCGCACCGTGTGATGTGTATTTGCCTAACCTATTTGCCGTGATGTGATTTCTGGAACGAACGGTTCAGCACACTCACTGGCTCGGCAAATGCTTTTGCACCGACCTGCGACTGCTCGTGTTTTCGACGTGCACGAGCCGACAAGGAGTTTTGCTCTCCGTCGGGACGGGGCCTCTGGCGAAGATGGGGAAAAAGCAGTTCTCCATTCTTCTTGCATGGGAAGAGGAAAACGGTCACGGAAGCGGGACGTTTCGAGGTAGAGCTGGTTCGACTCGTGAGGCTGCGTTTCCGGGCAGGCTTTCCAACGATGGTCTACGATCAGAGCAACAATATCATGCCAGGATGACGGGTATCGGGAAATTCGATAAATGAATCAACGCGAGAAGCACAGGCGTCGGCTGGGACCCGTTCCTTTGGAGCTCTTCAAGTATTCCCGAGAAAAGTCTCGTGAGTCCCATTCCGCTCGAGTGGAGACCGATGAGACGTCGACCGCTCCTTGACTCACTCCTACTCGCTCAGCTGGAGATGCTCGAGTGGCGATGTGTCGTTGTTGAGGACAATTGGAACATTACTGTAACTATTAGAATTCATGACTCGTATCCGACTGCTCAAGCATGAATAGCAACGAAGACGCAAACATCAGATCTAGATTCTGATTGGAATTAAGATTACCTACCTACGCTCTTGATGGATCGGATCGTTTCGATCGTCGCCGTATCGTTCGACTACGATATGTCGGTCCGGACGGGATAGATCCACGTACCTATTCTGCTCGTGCCTCGTACCGCACGGAATTTCCCGTGGCAGCGCCCAGGCTCCCGGGTTCCGGACTTGTCGGCCTGATAAAATACTCGTGGCTCGTGGCTACTCTCTGGCTCTGTGGATCTGTCGTTGAATAACGACCTCTCAATACTGCGTCATTGAGACCGCTACGGATGTCTTTACCGTGCGTCTGCAATCGACTGCGACGGTCCTGCTCTCACTGCTAGCCGATGATGCTCTCGCTGTTGCAACTATCGCGATGAGTCGACGCTTCTAGTGCCTAACAAACCGTTCACATACCTCGATTTATTCATGCAAGCTCGAGGCATGAGGTAAACAGATTTGCGTTAGGGTCTGGTGTCCTCTAAAGCGCGTCTGTGGTACCTATGTACCTACTGATGGGATTCGTTATGTTCGATCCATCAGCCTATCGGAAAGCGCAGACCCATGTTTCGTGGACGTCTCTTCCAGGGAAAGGGAATTTTTTCTCGCAGAAATCACAATCCTCTCATATTCATGATTTCCGGAGTCTACATCCCGAACCCGGGCCGCTCAGGGTTCGGAATCCGCACGACAATTATTATGCTATTGTCATTAAGTCGAGACGGAAGCGAAGAAAACTGCACTTGAAATTCCCGAAAAATTCTGAATCTGCGGAGTAATCCACGGGGGCAGATATTGTCACCGGAATGATCGGGACTTGCGCGGACCGGCTGTCCATGGGACAGGACCCTATGAGGTATTCTCGGATGATTGAATCGAGTCCCGGGTCGTTCTTGATTCTACTCCTCTTGGATGCCATATCCGATCCCTGATAATTTTCGCTGCAATTTGGCCATGGGGCTGATAGTCAAACGCTGCTGACCGAGAGGGCGCCGGATGTATTTCTTTCTGATATCCGTGCATGGGGCGATTCTCGCGCTTCGACACCCCAGGCAGTCGCCATCGTCCTAGTTCTCCATTCGTCCCTTCTGCGGCCGTTGGGACGAGCTTCATGGTTCTTCCAAGGTAGAATGATTTTCCTGCCTGAATCCTTCGTCTTGCCAATCGATATCCCTTCAGCAGATGTTCCTCCCCGTCCCCGAACGACTGATGCAGGACCATGTTACCCTGTCGATCATCCTGTGCCCGTCTCCGGGCGTCCGTACGCCCGCTCGTCCGAATTGGAGCATGAAATCTGTTCGAATCGCGTAATGTCGTCGTCGTCTACGTCCGCTCCCCGGAGTTGGCGGAATCCGCTCAAGTGAAAAATGGAGGGAATAAGCCGACGGTTCGTCGAGGAACCATCGTACCTGGCTCGTCGCGCACTCATCTCGACGACCGCCCGACGGTAACCGTAATCTCCAACCGTATTTGTCGAGGAGTTCGTCCATTCTGTCGACGGCACCGCGAACTTCGCGAAGGTCTCCATGGTCCTTGAATCAATCGGCTACCGCCTCCACCGGCGTTCCCATCGATTGTGTCCCTCGAGAATTCTCTGACGAATTCAGAATTGTTAATTTATCATTCCGATGGAAGAGTCGTTCGAATATCGACGTCGTCTGGTCTAACCCAGACCCGCTCGAGAGCACATCGACGTTTTGGCGAACGTAACGTGTTTCTGTTTTTTTTCCGAACAGACAGTCACATGCGTTCCGACGCCCGCTGTCACTCGGAGAGATCCACAAAGGTTGCTGCTTGTCAGCTCGTCGTTGGCTTTGCTGAACTCGACGCAATTGTCTCTCCCGTGGGCGCTCGTTGTTGTCGCTCGCTCGGTCGCCCGTTTGCCGCCGTTTGATTGTATCGCAGGCGTTGATCCTGCAATGCAATCAGCTTCACGGATCCCACACCCTGGAAGTTCGTCTCGCGAGCTGGAACTGCTCGAAAGAAGCGAAATCTATTCTCAATTCGCACTCGACACGTCATCGTGTTGTCGTCGCCCCCCCCCTACCCGTTTGAGGCGCCCGAGAGAACGAGTCGCTCGCTCGTGTTTTACTTTATGATACCACATCGAACGTCGCGAAACTTCAAAACTGCGATCGTAAATCGATTCCCTTGTTCGCCGGAGCTCGTCGAAGTCCACTAAACCATAACGGATTGACTCACTTCCGACTGCGAATGCGAAAGCGAGAACATCGGATAGTTTCGGTCTTGTAGGTTCCCGGAGCCTCTTGAAGCCAGAGGTGAGGCAACAAAAGCGCCGCCGGTCCGGGTTTGTTGTCCGTGGTTTGCGATGTGATAAATCCTCCTCCGGTGATAAGAGCAAGACGGCGACGACGGAAGATGGATTCTCCCAGAGTGTACGCCGCTCATAAGAGAATGTTGTGCGCGGCCCGCTACCCGGGAATGGCTCGGTGTCTCGTCTCTTTACATTCGTCAATCTTGAGGGTTCTCATCTACTCTTCTTGTATTCCTCTCACGGAGTCAACGTCCCTACTAAGTAAGAGGTTGATGTAGGCGACAGTATTTCCCGCTCGCGACGACAGGAACAATCTTTCTCGAATCCACGCCGCGGCGCTAACGGCTGTCAGGAACTCGCTGACGACCGAGCGGTCGAGCGGCCGACTGACCGAGAGACCGAACGAACGAACGAGCGTAGCTCTGATATATGTTAACTGTCACACACGTCAACTGCACATCTCGTTCTCCTTTTCCGAGTGCGTTCCCTTTCCCCGAGAACTCTTCCTTGGCTCCGCTACGAATCTAAGTTGCTCTCCCGTCCCGATACTCTGTCCACGGTCTCCTCGTGTCACACGAAACTTCCGATGACAAGATCACTCCCGTTCTCCTTCCGGACGACTCGATCCGCTGTAGCCGTCACCGACGCCTTCCACGCTTCCCTCACCATTCGGGACCGTGCTCCGAACTCTCGGATACGTCGGCGGAGTACCACTGACGCGGAGCTGTTGGAAGAGGGGGATCGCGGAATATCTGAAACGCGATCTAAAATTCCAGCTCAGCGCCTCCGGATAAGCCTATCGGTTCTCGGCGGATGAATATGCGAGGGGAAATAGTATGCCGTGCATCGTGGGCCTCGCATGATCCATGGCAGTCGGTCGTTCAGTCAGTCTGCGTTTCCTTGTCCACTGAATGAGTAGCCGGCCGAATGGAGCGACGGTCGAGGGAGCGTGCAGGCATGACGGATGGAGTGGCTCTGTCGGTCAGCGAGTCGAGACCTCAGGAAAACCGACTCGGACCGATCCCTCCGACTGACCGCGAGTCCGGTATGCAAACAGACGCGGCTCGTCGCTTCCAATCAGTTCGAGAGCACTTCCGACCGGGACGGTCGATCGAAGATATCTTAGATATCGCGGAGTGGTACATCTCCCGAAAATTCGCCACTGCCGAGATCGTTACGCCTCTCTTTCCGCGGGAAAGTACGCCATGAATAGGGAGTTGGACCTGGTTCTAACGACCGGTCTTCGAAAGATTCGTACTTTCGTCTTGCAGAGACGATTTCGGCTCTGCAAGTTTCCTCTTCATCCGCCAAACCTCTCCCATCGAGTGATCTTCGTTGCAATGTCCGGAACCGGGAAAAAATTGAAATGATTCGGTCCTTCCGCTCGAGACAATCGCCGTAGGGACTTGTCCTCTCTCGGTGTTGGGCAGTTTCAATTTTATTATCGAAGAACCGATCGTTCTGTACTACAATTACAGCCTGGAATTACTCGAGTGCTTTTATCTTGTCGGTCGGAACAAGGAACACAAGTTACGACTGGACACTAATATCGAGGCTCTCTCTCTATTTGCAGTAACCTCCACGAGCAGCGCTCAGCATCGACAAACGGGGGATCTCAGCAAAACGTCGAGAACGATGAAGCCATTTATAGCGATGAAGATGAACCCGAACCTCCTCCTCCGACCCGATTCAACAGACGGAAGAGCGTCTTCGCTGAGCACTACGATCCGGCCGAGGACGAGGACGACGAGGCACACAGGGTACGTGTACTTGAACGTGTTTCTACCTCCAACCAACCAATCAAGCGCGCAGCCGCTACCACCTAGTCAGCAACCGAGTACCTGGACACTTTCGGCGAGCGGGTGGGCGGCTCGTAAGGCAAGCCGTACCGGTGGTCGGCCATTGACAGGACAATCGAGCATCCGCTCCGGCCCTGCCCGCGGGACGGTCAGCGGACTATTCACCAACAGAGGCGATCAAGACAAACTTCAACAACTGACCGAGTGGGGCTTTGAGCGCTGTTCAAATTCGTCCTTCGCTCGATTAGAGGTTCTGACGAGAGCGGGCGCCGAAACTGGGTCACTCCGCTAAAGCCCATCCTGTTGGAGCAGGGACCTGGCCAGGGACCGAGCGGACAGGGACCGGCGACCGACGGCCAGCCAGCCGGCCGACCGTCGGTGCGCTTAGCTTGTTCAAATATTCAGAGCTTAAGATTTTCATGGTCCTTGTCCACTCATTCATTCGCTCGTTGAATTCAATTCATTCTGGCCGGCAGAAAGTAAGTCAGGGAGCCGTGAAGGACGGAGAAATACGAAATTAAAATTCTGCGAGAGAGCTGAACACGAGCACCGTCAGACAGGCGCGCTGGTGGGCGCTCCGGTGGGCTCGAAGCAGACGAACATGTTCAGAGAAAAGCATTCCTTTGTCGTCGTCATTGTTGTTCAAGAGGCCAGCGTTGAATGAGGAGGTTAGGGAGACTGATGGGAAATGAGGACGCAAGGCACCGGCATACGAACACCTCGGTCGAGTTTTTTTTGAGCTTGCGATTCCTGAAAACTGATGGTTCACTTAGCCGGCCTGTATCCGAACTCCTCACTAGGGAGAATGATGATATTTCTGGCGGTGTTGTTTTTTGTCCATCGTCTTCGTTCGTCTTTCAGTTTCCGGGTTGAATCTCAAAGCACACACGCGAAAAGTTCCTGCTCTCAGGCCCGCGGTTTCGTTCCCCTCGCGGATCAGCTTTTCCATCGCAAGCTTATGGGATTCGCGAAGGTTCAACAGACTTGGAAGGTGTTTTTCCTAAGCCCTCTCGGTTCAACGGATTCCGATGCTTTCCCGAATTGATCGACGAACACAACTCGTCGTCCGAGGCTGAAATTATTTTCTAGAATCCTGCAGCAGCTCCATTCTCCGCCCACGTTTTACCTAGAGCGTTGGTGACTGCATATATTCCCGACCTTCGGGCTGTTCAGTGCGAGATAGACTGTTCCTGATGTTCTCCGTTCAGGGCTCCTGACGCTCGACTGAAAACTACGGGGCCCCAGATGTGTAAATATCACGCAATCCGCGGGCGAGCGATCGTGCAGCTTGACTTTCGCTCAACTTTTCAGCCAGAAGGGTGTATATCTCGATTTTCCACGAGTTGCCACATACATCCGGCACCAGGCCATCATGCACATAAACCATTCCCACACGACATTAACTTTCGCCTTGTATATGCAGAAGCCTCTCTGCCATGAGTCTCCACTCGATTCAAGTTTTTCTATTCCGGTGATCTCAGCATGATACGATTCGTGTTTCGAGGCCTCTCCGCGCAGAGCCCCGGGCCACGTGCCCCGTTGACGAACTTCTCCCTCCACTTTGGATTGCCCGAGTTCCTCCATCTCGAAGTTACTCATTTTTTCCCGAGCCCTTCCGTTGCATTCGACTCCCTCCCTCTCTTCAGCGACCTTCTTAGTTTTTTCTCTCTATTTAAAACAATCCTCCACGCTGTCTGTTATTGGTTTTTATCATATAGTACGCTTTCTGAATGATGATTATTCGGCCGGTACCGATGTGAAGCTTTTCACCGGAACTACCCGAGCGGTAAGATGGCATACGTCGAGCGTCTGAACGGGAATTCCATGAACTGCGGGAGAGGCAAAACAAAGTGTTCTCAAGCTAAAAAAAGACGCCAAGTTTGTCTCCTCTTCTTCAAGTACTAAGCCTGTCTTTTGTTCGCGACTCTTGACCTCAGCGAGTCCTCCTCTTGCCGATGCCGCACGACTTCTCTGCAAACTGAAGTGCATCGTTGGTCTAGGCGAGCGAGAGGATTCTCAGTGGCTGCTTCGAGTTCCATGATGCGGTGGCGGTTTCTTTCCCCACTCGGATACGTGGAAGATTTCCATAAGAGCGGAATCTTTGGGTGACCGAAATTATCGGAGAGCTGCGTGGACATCGATCAGATAGCGCTTAGTGCACAGAGGATTTGATGAAGAGGGACTGTGGTGAGCGTATCGATCCGGGAGCGCGGGGAGAGTCGTTCGCATTCGGGTGACGTCGGCTAGGAGTCGGTCAATCAGTCAGTCGATCGATCGAGGATGAGCTGTTGCGTGAAGCACGCTCTCCCCCGTCCTCCGTGCTGTCGACGACAAGAAATCGACGACGCTCATGCGACCCTCTGACTCGTGCGTTCCGCGCCGGAAAAAAAACTCGCGGACATCGTCTGGGAGTGACCTCGAGCCCGAACATGGAAGCAGAAGAAAAGACATGCGGTGACGATGAGATTCAAAAAAGGCTCGGGTTACATGAGGAGTCTGAAAGGCGAGTCATTAACAATACTAAGCGGATTCTCGAAAGATGGGAGAGAAGGGAGGCAAAGCCACCCACACCCCAGGTGTGAAGCGTCACATAGTCTCCAGCGATAGCGCCCCCGCAGTCGGGGTTTCTTATAGAAATGGAGCATAAATCAATCAATCAAGCAGCAAAACTCGCTCCACGAGTTTCCCGTCGAGGGAAACGACGACCAAGCAAACCGGCGGCCGGGCTTCCCGGAACAGAGGACCCCTCCGGAGTTCGAGTCAAAGGTCGCAACCGGCCCAGTTGCGTCCTGCCGCAGCAGAATATCGTTCTACCGCCAGATGCACCGAGATTGACGGAGCGCTCGCGAACGCAGGTGGGAAGAGATTTTCATGACCCGCTATCCACGTCCTCGCAATTGATGACCCGAAGTCAATGCAGTTGTTGCTCCGGGACTATAGGGAGCGCAGTATGTCGTAAGTCGGAACAACAGTCGGAGCGCGCGTTCTTGCGACCAGCACGTACGGTTGTTACTATCAATTAGTTCACCTGCTCCTCCTAAAACCGACAGCGGGATCGCCGTGGCCTTCGGTGTAGCTCCGATATATTGGGCTCGGGGTTCAACCGAGCATGCGGGTGGTCACATGAGTCCATGCTGGTCCGAGTCATTCGTTACCCTATCAAGAGCAATGAGCGGCGACAAGCGTGAACAACGTCGCTGAGTTCGAGCACGCCCGGTCTCTTCCGTCCACGGTTGCATTCGAGCGCGAATCGCATTGTTGCGCCGAATAACACGCTCACAGCATAATAGGCTTATACTAGTGCGGCTTACGGTCTGTTCCTGCCCCACGTGGCCGCTGCTGCGACCTACGGCCCACAAGCTGACCTAACGAAGTTAAGTCATTGCTTACTTGTGACCGGATTGAGATTAATGGCGGGGAAGGGAAGCACAGCCGGGAGGGGGGGGGGATGGGGGGTGGAACGGCTCGAAAACAATTCCGGTGCTGCCCCTCTCCTCCACCACCGCAAACGGCGACTCATTGACGAGGCCGCACGCGTAGTGAGAGTCGACTTGCGAATTCTCCTTACGTCACTTATCGACTCCTTTCTGTGAGACTGAAGTCCGTTCAGCCTTTCGCTCGCCAGACCCTTAGCGAGCTCTTACTTCGATGCCCATGGCGATACTTCCCAGCGAGGTTTACCTCCAAGGTCGGTTCGCCCGCGCATCGGTCGATCTCTTCGCCGCCTTTTCCAGTGTCTGTCTGCTCGGAGCAACCCTCCCCCTGAGCGTCGGTCGTCTTCATTGCGATCGACGATGGATGGATATGAGGCATGGAGAGAACCGGGCGGGAACAAGATACGAAAGTTGATTATTGAGTGCGGCGCGGAGGATTACGCCCTCTAACCGAGCCGACTCCCCAGCAGCCGTCCGGGAAAATTTTGCTCCATGGATTCCCTGGGAAGTGCGCAAGTCCCGTCTGGTATTGGGAGCATCCAGCGGGAGAGAACGGTGGCCGAGGTCGGGAAGGAGGGTACATTCGAAAGTGAAAACAGGTGGAAAAGAGATTTCAGAGTATGGAGGCAGCCAGAGAAACGAGAAAGGTCCCCGAGAGCAACGAATCAGCTGAGCAAGATCTGGGAAGGGGGGATTCGAGTCCTCTCGAGGGAATGAGATGGGGAAAGAACGTCCCGGGAAGGGAGGAAATGTGAGTGTGTACTGGGGCTGCGGGGTCGGCTGCGATATTAGAGGGAAAAATGAGGAGGAAGAGATCGGAGCGAACGCTGTGGCGCGACGACAGGCGCGGAACGACCCCGGTGGCGGAGGGTCGGAATCGTGAATCGAATCATCGATGAAGAGCGATCGACCGGAAAAAGCTTAATTTTGTGTGCAGACGATGTTACGAGGATTCACGCGCGACATCTAGCTGTCAATTCAGCAGGCGACGGCTATCCGTGGCTTATCGGCACCGTCAGAGACTGTTGAGTTTCTCCGCTCGGTCGCTTGCTCCTTTTGTTCGCGGGTAGGTCGGCCGGTCTCCCTGTCGGAGGGTCGCTCGCTCGCTCGCTCAGTCACTCGCTCTCACCTCAGGTGAGTCACCTGGCGTTGTGTTCCCTTGTCAGAGCTGGAGGTGGGGCTGTAATAGGCTCTAGATAATGGAAATTATCTAGCAAACGATTTTTGTGCCACCGTCGCTTAGCCGTCGGCACCGACTTTCTACTGCCTGCTAAGGACCACGGGGCAATGGGAAGGGGCTCTGGACTGGGGGGAAGTAAGAAACCTCTCCATAACGGCAGCTGCTTAATCAGCTGACAACGTCAACAACTACGAAAAGAGAAGCAACAACAACAATGGCGAACGAGGCTTAGCCTGGAGAAAAGTGCTCGAAGCAAATAAAGAAACGAGCACGCGTATAGCGGCCGGGCACACGAGCGCGTCTTGTCGTTTTTGCGTGGATGGGCAACGTAACGACTAGCGGAGGAGCTCCGTCGCCAGAGTAAAGATCGACAAAAAGACACATAGAATCAGGAAGAAAAGGTATTCACTAGCGCCCCGAGCATCCAACAGTGTATACACGCCGAGCGGCTCGTTCGTATGTCGACAATGTTTCGCAAGGAATTTGTCGTGGGTACGGATCAACTGAAGATTCGTTCGGTATCCCCGATTCTTCGGAGGATTTTGCAATCTTGATCCGCGGAGCGCTCCGCCGGGCTCTATCTCCGAGCTTCGGATGGGCGTTGGGCGATCAGATTCCCCCCCTCGGAGCGATGGGAGCTTACGACGCACGTAACGTACGTGAATGCGCGATGCGAATCAATTCGGGAGCGATTGAGAGAGAGGCGCTGGGCTTCCGATGAGAAGACCCCGGATGGACTCGCGGGCAAGCCGGACCCGAGCGATGCCATCCGCGGTTTTCTGCGCTCGGGCATGCTAGCGGACACTTCCACGGTATTATCCGCGCTCAATCGTTGAATGAATAATTCACTTATTCATTCGCATTTCTAATTCCGAGTCTCTTCTCAAATCCCAATCAATGAAATGACATTTGAGGTCTCGGGGTCCGACCGTCGGCCCGACGCGACGCTTGCTGGCCATAAGTCTCTATTCGCTCAACTTTCGTTCTAGTGCTCTAATTTCGTTTCAACGGAAGCTTCGCTGAGGGCGCAGAGAGACGGTCCCTCTGGGAACCGAAGTTTCCTTCCTTTGTCGGGTTGCACTGTCCTCCTTTTCCTTGACTCAGTCAGATGCGCCCGACTATCGTCCACGAACAGAAACAGCGGTGCTGGGCAGTCGGCGGTCTTCGAGTGGAGGCGGGACGCTTGTGACGGCGGCGGTAACGTTTGTCCCTCGGGTCTGTCGCCGACACCTCCGTGTTCTTTCTGCTTCTTCTGTCCTGTTATCCGATAGCTGTTTGTAAATTCCGCCGACCTTGTCGGAACCCTTTGCAGCTCGGAACGATCGTCGAGAGGCTCGACAGAAGCTTCGCGCTGGCTGCGGTTCCCTGAAGCGAGTCCGCATTGGTCCGACAACGTTCCCTCCGGTGAGAGCCATCTAGACGAGAAGGTGTGGAAGGAGCCATCTTCAATAATTCCTTGTGGGACAGGCGCAATTCTGTCGCTAGCGAAAGCAAGTTGTTCCGACTCAATTTTTATCAGTCTGATCTCGGCAATGCCCCCGGCTTCAGAGGTGTCCGCCTACCCATCCTTTCGATCATCTTTCGTGTCGATGGCTTGGAGGGAACGGAGGTTGCTCCCTCGCGGATGGGAGCGAGAAACGGCTCCAATGATTCGTTTTCCAAGAAAGTGAAACAAATTATGTTCTGACGGAAAAAATGCCTGCTTCGAAGTACACCTATTTTTCTACCCTTGCTTTTCCGCCGAGCATCTGTTCTCAGACGTTCAGAGCCGGCTCGAGGGGCAAGCGATCCGAGACTCACGCCGAAAGGTCATGAACATCAACGACTACTCACTTCTCATTCCTGTGCTCCTCTCGCATTCATTGAATCCACCGTATGAATACATTTTCGCCTGCGAAAGCTCTGACGAAGTCCCGGAAACTCTGTATTCATGAATTTCCTCTTCTCCTCAGCCATCGCGTCCTTGTCAGCAGCTTCGCGGGATAAGACTCCTAAACGGCAGAGAGGGATCCCGAGAAGAATTCCGAAGCTCTTTGGCTCCTTTCAAGCATTCATCAGAATGTGGAGAGGCCCGCGAAAATTCTTGATATCTCCCTCAAAGGGCTGCTGAATAATTTGGTCGTTGAATTTCGGATGCGAGTCAACCGGCGAATGTCGTCCCTGGCATGGTGGTAAACAGCTTCTTCCCAGGGCGTTCTCGATGGGAATTTCATCGAGAAGAAAACAAGTCCCATCAACAAGGAACAGTCCGAGCCCTCCTTTTTTGTGCAGAGAATCGGGGAGAGCCATAAATTAGGAGAGTTCTCGATCCTTGACCGCGCTCGCCACCGGATAATTAGTTCTCTCCCGCCGAACCGGTACTGATATCGGGATGAGATATTTCGTTTTTTCCCTTATCGCGAGGCCAAGTCGGTAATCGATGTCTGTTCGATGATGAAATCGGGAAATCCAGCAGACCAATTACCGATATCGGCCGAAGTAGTGCCTCCGCTCGGCATCCTGGCTGATTTTTGTTCTCGTTTCATCTTTGCAGATCATTCATCCCAAATCGGACGAGCAGCGAGAAATCCTGGCCATGGCTGTAAAGAATATCCTTCTCTTCCGTTCCCTGGACGCCTCTCAGATGCAGGATGTGCTGGACGCTATGTTCGAGCGCCGCGTAGTCCCAAACGAGATCGTCATTCAACAGGGGGACGACGGTGATTATTTCTACGTCATTCAAAGGTGAGCGAGAATGTTAGTGGGTGAGTGAGTGAGAGCGATGGCATGAGCTCCATAGCCGACAGCTGCTCTGGCTAAGCGAGGCCCTCGAGTGAGATTTTAGAACCTCCAGCATCATCCGCCGCCGCCGCCACAACCACCGCTATCGCCGCTGACGATGTCGTCGACGAGGACGGCCTTCCTCATCTTAGCGACTTGGAGGCAAACATAAACTCGGCTAACTCATCAAAATAAACTTTGATGAGCTCAGCAAAGATCGTCGGGTTTCACAGAGCCTGTCCCCGAACCCTTGTTAGAACACCTTCACGCCGTATCTCGAGGTTGCGCCGTCGACGATACGTTCCGTATCGGAGGCGGACGAATTCGGAGGGGTAGCACTGGAATTCGCTTCCCATAGCATGGCCGCCCGGAAACATCAACGTGACATTTGCCTCATCGTGAGAAAACATTCCGCGTCGCGACTTGATCCTCGTACAAATCTATTATCTCTGCGACCCGGCGAAATCCTTTTTTGTTTGCATGTCTCTTTTCGCGCCGAGAATATTGTACGGATGTGGAATCCTCGGATTTTTTCTCCTCTCGGTTTGTCTCGACACACTCCGAGTCCAAACCTTTCGATAACGACGTTTCCAACATGGATTCGTGGGCGAACTCGCTGAAAGCCAGACCGAAGCCGCTGTCGAGCGAGTCGAGTGAACTCCTTTCGAGTCTGTCGATGGGTGGGACGACGGTCGGTCGATCCGTTGGTGGGTTTCTCGTGTCGGTGATACTAAGGCCCAGCTAACGAGGCTCCTCCAACGTCGACTATTCCGGAAAGTTCCACAGTCCGTGGGGCGACGCCAGATCATAATACAGATAGCGTTCGAATCGTAGCGCCGAGGCTCGGCCGCAGACGTCTAACCCACGTTCGTTCGCCGACGGGGGATCATCGATTCTAATCGTCCCATTTTTTCCTCTCTTCCCCGCAGCGGAACGTACAATATTTTCGTACGGAACCCCACTACCGGAGATAACATGAACGTGGGCAAATACGAAAATCATGGCAGTTTCGGAGAACTGGCTCTTCTCTACAATCAACCGAGAGCTGCAACCATCCAAGCGACCACCGACGGCTCGCTGTGGGCTATGGTGAGTAGATTTGATCCTCGTTTCTCTGTGTCCTGTCCGTGCGTGTTTGTGCGTGCTCGCGTGAGAACGCGCAAGCGAGCGAGTGTTTGCCGGCTGGTGGCTGTGCGTACGAGTGCGTTCGCGAATGTTTGCTGAAACGGTCTTGCTAACGGCAATGAGACCGCAGTGCGGTTATCGTTCGAGGAGACGTCTCAAAGGGAACCCGTCTGGCCAGCGAGGTTTTCACCGGTCCGCATCCGAGAGCTTCTGCGACAGTCTCTCTAAGAATACTTCAGAGCTCATTTTCACAGACAGTGTCCCGTCGCAGAGTCGGACCTCTGATTTCCAGCTCCTACATACTACATATAATGGCTCGTTTAATTGCACCACTCTGAAATTGTGTCACAATCGTATTCAAACAGAGAGCTTCGCCGACTCTCGCAAATCTCGAAAATCGCATCCTCTCATCACAGTGGATTCGTGAGTGTGAAGTGAATCGAGCGGGGTGTTTGCGTCGCTTCGGGGAACAAACCCTCCGGCCGGCTCGACTTTCGAGATGCAGTCCGGTCGCTGGGAATCTCCCCATTGTATTGTCGAATGAATAATCCACCTGCAATCAGCATAGTTATTCCGAGACCATTGGATTGCGAGCGCTTGCTTAAGGTCAAGGCAAACAGACGGACAGACCAGGCCGCCTGGTGTGGTGGTGAGGGATTAAGAGATACACAGGGAGAAGGAGATACGGGAGATGAGGTGGACCAGCAAGTCGGGAGGTCTCGAGCTGATTCTCCAAAGTCAAATATCGTAAAGTCTCTCGGTGCTCGTCGACAAGGCCTGTCGGCCGCCATTGCCTTAGCCGACGCTCGACGGCACTATTTTGGGCAGCGCACACCCATAAAAAGAGGCGATTGGATGGCCAACGGAAGCGGCATAATCACATTGACAATGTTCACCTTACTTCGAAAATCGAATCCTCCTGTAGCGGAGCAGAACGACACAGACAGCGCCGCGGCGGTCCGTCTCCGAATCCGTCCGTCTGTTCCTCTGACGGTCAATCGGAGAAACGACCGACAAGTCGATGGGCTCGAACCGCGCTCATTGAAGTCTCCGGATAAAGATTTCCTCGGAGATGAGAAGTACTCTAGTCGTTCATCAGGATATAAGATGAGAGCCTGGGAGCAAGGAAGCCTGGGACTGATGGGAAGCCGGGAGGAGAAAGCAGAAAACATCCACACGACACACACTCGGTACACGGCTGTACCGCATCCTGTCAAAGAACGAAATCGTTTTCTGGAACTCGTCTCTCGAGCTTTCGACTATCTCCGGGGAAAATGTATTCTATAGCGTCGCCACCGCCGCCGTCTTCTTCTCCGTCGTGTATATTCAGCGGGAGAAAAAACTGAAAAGTCATGCGTGCCAGCGAATGTGCGTACGTGCCAGAGCGACTTGATCGAAATCTGCCTTGTTCGTGGAACGACTTCCATCTGCTCCTGCGACCCTGAGCCCCCTCCACGTTCCCGTTGGTGTTCGTCCCCCCTTCTGTACGCCAGCCGCTGTCATCCCTTGAATTTATGAATTTCTAGTCGCCATCTCTCTCTATTTTTACCTTTCCGGACCGCCTCCTCAAACCACTCGGGGTTCACCGAGCGTTGCCTTCGGGCTCTGGCTCAGTGGCTCCCCTGCAGCCGGGACGAATGGTCATTTGAACCCATCGAACCATGCTGCCGCACTCATTGTCGAGTCTCACGCTCTTATCCACGTCGGCGATATTGCTCGATCTCCGCTGCTGCTGCTGCTGTCGGGGTGGTTGCGGGAGCCACCACTTGCTGCTGCTGCTGCTGCCGCTGTCATCGCTGGTGCCGGTGTTGAGGCTGCTGTCGAGCCGGCAAATCTACTTAGGCACCGGGGACAAGCTCGTTACGGCGTGCAGCTCGTTAGCAAGTTCGGGCAGCGACGTACCGCTCGAAAACGTGGACGAACGCCGGCGAAAATCAGAGCGTGCACCAATTAATCCACTCCTTGTATCGAGGATCTCGAGGGCAGCTGTCTGTCTTGTCTGCGTGCCGCTTCTGCTGCTAACTCCCGACGGCGGCGGCCGGGAGCGGCGGCGGGCGAACGCTGATTGAATCCCACGGCAATTTTCTCTCCCCCCTCATCAAACTTGAATTTAAGTTTCAATTCCTTGTATCTTTCCAGAACCGTCAGACGTTCCGGCGCATCGTCTTGAAAAGCGCTCATAAGAAACGCGTCGTTTACGAAAAGCTCCTCGAATCTGTGCCAATGTTGAGCTCGCTCAACGCCTACGAAAGGATGAATCTTTGTGATGCGCTCATGCCAAAGGAATTCAAGGAAGGTGATTGTATCATCAAGCAAGGAGACAGTGCAGATGGTGAGTTCGGAACGTTCGCTGGGGACGCGTGACGTGTTCTCTCTCCCCTTCATCCCATCACGGCCGTTTTTCGTGGGTTTATTTCATTGTTTGATCGTCGTCACGTCGTCTCGATCGTCGTCTGCGATGCCCGCAGACGAATTCATACAAATCGAATATGCTCCCGACCGATGTCGAAACCGAGCGTTTGTAATCGGAGAAGGATGTCTTCCCTTCTCCGATGGAGTTCTCTGAGCAATGAGCGACGGTTTTCTCATCGCAATCGCGCTCCGAGAATCGGCGAAGGCCATGACGTCATTTTCGTGGAATTTTAAGGGATCCCGCTCCGCGCTCAAGGCGGAATCGTGGGCTCCAACACCAGGTATCCTGGATTGTCACAGAACATAGCCGCTTCGTCCGGCATCATGGGCGACCTTTAGCGGGGACTGATGAGATTTTATGTCTGCATAAATTGTCTACAAGAGCTAATCAAACAGAGCGTACACTTGGGAACGGAGCGGAGGCGCTACTCGACGGGGAAATTGCTCTCAAGCGCGACATACAGACGAGTGCTGAGGACCGTCCTTGTTTAGGAAGTAAGCCGTCGCTTCCCTTCTCGGATGTCCTCAAGTCCGGTCGGTCGGGACGCTTGTGCTGTGTCCTCTGACCGGTAGCCACGAAGTTGCCGCTCTTGCTGTGGCGCCAATTAGTTCGTGCGTCGCCGAAAGAGGTCGGTCGCGGAATCTGAGAATCGAGGTCGAGGGCTCGCCGGGTCTCGCTCCAGGGCCATCCATGGAAGGTTATTTTCTATAAGCGCATGATTCCTCCCAACGATATAATATCTCCCAGAAGAGAACGCGCAGACTCAGCATCTTATGTGTAGCCAAAGTGAAACAGGAGCTGCATGCAATGGCTCGACCCAGACACAAGGAGTTTTTTATTTATTTGATATTCGATGCGTAGGAATGTTTCCTCGATTGTTGCGGGAAAAAGTCTCCTCACCTTGTATTTCGTTTCCTTTCGTCTGGAATCTGTTTCATCTGTTGCTGAACTCGTTGCTGTGATTCTGAATTTACGAGGGAACGCGCGGGAGTATTTGATTTTGCTCAAATTCTCCTGTTACTCTCGGGGGCGCTCCATGGCTTCATAAATATTTCTGAGTGTCCGAAACTCACGCAATATCGCAACGCAGAGTTCGGAAGATTTTGTTTCGTGTTCGATTCGAGGGGGAAGTTTTCCTCCCGGTGATCTCATGGAACACGAATGGGAGAGGGAGGGAGGACAGTTCTAGGGAACCGTTCCATGGAGCAACTTTCCTCGTTTCCCCTTGTCTCGAATCGCATCCTCGAAGTTTTGCTCGCGGTTCTCGCAGCGACGCCGAGGAGCGTCAATATCGTCGAGCAGCCGAAGGTGTGTTCCAACAACAACAACGACGACGACAACAACGACAGAAGCAGCAGCTCGACGACATGACGCTGTCCAGCGGCGGCAGGCAAAGCAGCAGGTCTCGTCCTCCTCGGCTCGCTTCTCCAACCGTCCAAATATAGCTCTCAATGTGTCACACGACAAAGCCCTGATTCATGAGCATATCTGGGCTCCGCTCAGAAAATGCAATAACTCCGCGGCAACGACGATGACACATCTAGTGCGACCGAGTAAGCCACATTTAGACGAACAGACATAGGGACAGACGGACAAACGTTGATGCACTCGCCATGCACCGAACAGACAATTCCTCGGCGACACTCTCACACCCCAAGCGAGCGCTATTCCGGACTGACCCAGTTTCTGTGTACGCAATTTGTTGGCAGCCGCTTTTCAAATTCGCGATTTCCGCGGCAATCGCAGGCTTTTGTTCTCCGCGAGATCAGGCCGCCGCGTCGATGTCATCGCTCCGGCGTCGGCACTGTAATTTTTTCCGCCGATGTTCAGACCCGTCTGTTGCTGCAGTCGGAGCCAACACCGGCGTGGTCGTGTTTGCCCCCTCGGTCGATCTGTCGGTCTGGCCGACCCCCTCTGTTCCCGTGGTTGGTCCCGCCTGGAAACTTGTTGCAGTTGGGGATACAATCAAATCGTACATGGACGCAATCCCCTTGTTCTTCATTATTGAGCTCCGATGGCCCTCCGGCGAGGTTGGAAGCCGCTCAGTGGCTCGCGACGAGGACCAGAGCGGTCGGTCTCATTATTACGAGCAATTATAGGACTTTTCCGCTGGAATGATTTCGGGAAGGCAAGCGGAAAGTAATTGGAAACAGAAAGTTAGGATCCATTGCGCCGTCGAAAACCGGCAGCGGATCGGAGGCCCCCTAAATGAGAGCTGTATGTTCTGAAACTCGGAAACTGTCCGCACTGCCCGTAGGACATCCGACCGCTACTCCTCGTTTCGCGGAAAATCATGCGTCGTTGATGGAATTGAATCGACGTTGTGACTTGCCGTCGATATCCTCTTGAACCGACGAGTCTCTCCAGAGTTGGGATCCATCAATATGTTGATTCATGCTTTCATTTAGGACTTTCCATCACGAATTTCTATTCTGGCCCTTGTCCGATTTTCGTATGATGTCGATGGCTCGCTGACGGGCTGACTGGCGCACGGACTCAATTCGTTATCTCGTTACAGGCATGTACTTCTTGGAAGATGGCACCGTAAGTATTCGCGTGCGCTCCGAAGGTTCAGAAGAGGAGAAAGAGATTTCCCGCTTCACCAATGGGACTTACTTCGGAGAGCTGAGTCTCATTACTCACAAGCCCCGCGCTGCGTCTGTCTACGCATGCTCCGACGTCAAGACTGCCTGTGAGTATGCCGCGTCTGATACCTCACAAGATGCCAGCCGCTCCCGACTTCTGCTTCATCTTCATTCCCCTTGCCCACACCTTCAGCTTCTATTGTGGACTTTACGCCTCCCAACTCAGTCAATTGAGTCTTCGCCGCGCTCAGAGTTTCCCACGAGGAGTTTCAGCTTCGAGGGGATCATAAACCGTGAATTCTCTCAGAGTTTCTTTTTTCGAGACGAGTGATTCGATAGGAGAGCAATACCCGCCCGAGTCTCACTCGTGAGTCCTCCGAGGGAATGCCGAACTTCCGTCCAAGGCTCCTGCCACCCTCGCTCGCTCGCTTACTTGTTTGTTTGTTTCTTTCTTCGACGGCTTTGGCGGTCGGTCGGTTTTCGGTCGGGACCGATGATGGAATTCCAGCTGGAAGAATCTCGCAATGATCTACCCGAACAACTGAGTGCGGCGGGAACAACGTTCTCCCGGTGTTGTCTTTGTTTCCTCCACTGCCAGGCCGCCTCAGCTTCTGTCGTCATTGTTATTCTCCTTGCCGATTGTTATGGAGATCCTCAAACGGGGCTATGGAGTCCACAAACTTAGTAGCCCGCCGGCCATCTGACGTCTGACCTGCCAACATCCGACCTTCTGCGGACGGCTCACGAACGAATTCTTCCGAGGTTCCGGCCCCGCAGGCTATCCCTCATCGATCCATTGATTTTTGTGCCGTTTCATAAAAGTGGGTCAGTAAAGCCGAAGCCAAAATTAATAGCAGATTATCTCGCCGTGGAATGACCGTAACTTTGGATCGTGTAAACATCCCGGTGACGCCATCTGCGAACGTGGTTGAATACCACCGTAGCACGGCACAATGCTCGGTCACGTCAATAGCGATGAGCGTGATCAGACAACGATCGTTTATACGTGTTCTTTGAGCGCAGATCCATGCACCGCGCCGTGGTCATTCATGACGTTTTTCGCTCAATTGCGGCGTAGGCGTCCGCAGCTATCAGGGACGGTCGCTTCTGTCTGGCTGATAGCACGGAACAAAGCGTGGCTTCTTCTCTCCGACCGACTTATTGGTTCGGGTCGCGATAACTTCGTCTACGGAAGCGAGCTTTCGGTGGTCGCTCGCTGAGTGAGGTCTCGGGAGCTCTGGCTCCGGAATCGGAGCCGAGCTCGAAGACCGGATCTATTCGCTTTGATATGGATGAGAATCCCGATCGTCGGAATTAATGATTTTTCCCTGCGCTGTGCGTAGTTCGTTCGTCGAACTAATGAACGAGGCGAAAGAACAGGAAACGTTTTCGTTATCTCCGTAAGGCAGTGTGTTTCAACCCTCGAATCCCCATCCTCTACTCGCGCTGTCTCAAAGTCTGATAATTGTTTCCTTCCTTTTCAGTCCTCGACGTCGAGGCTTTCGAAAGACTTCTGGGTAACTGCGTCGAGATTATGAAACGCAACATAACCCATTACGAGGAGCAGCTCGTGGCGATACTGGGTTCAACCAACATCTCCGACCTCCGATGAGTTCTTCCCGAGCTCCCGAACTCTCGTTGCATTCAACATAGACACCCACCTTATGAGTCACTGTACGGAATGTGAACACTGTCGAAGAGCAGCACCGCCTCTGACGGGAGCAACGATTGCGGTGACCAAGTCTGAACTATTCGAGAGGGATCATCATCGATCACAACGCTTCGGAAACCGCAACAAGAACGGAATCCGATTTCGGTAGCCAATCAATGTGCAACGACGACGAGGAAGAAAACAATCGCTCGCGTCACCCACCACCCCGAATATAAGGCCCGATTTTTCGTCGGTGTAGGTTTTATGGTGTTTTCAGTCAGAGTTTTTAGACCAGCAGCCGTGGGTGGTAGATTATCGGAGTCAGAGACTGGATCAGCTGTTTATCGGCACGCGAAGCGGATCACACGCGAAGAGGAGAAAGAAGCAAGAAGCGACTAGTGGGGCTGATCAAACAAATAACTGCTATGCGATGCAATGTAATAATTTAGGCGATTAGGATTCGGATCATTCTTTAAGGATGACGATGTGGGGCATGTTGTTTTATGTCTGTGAGATTGATTGGTTGGTTGGCTGATTGACCGGTCGTTCCGTTAAGGACGACGGTCATCATTTCCGCGTAGACGAGTTCGAAAGTCGATGGTCTGTCTGATTTTAACACCTACCTAGCGATTGACTGTTGTATCAGGATTGTATGAAGCTGTAGCGACGAGCCATGGAGCTCCTTGCTTCCTAGAAAATACCAAGAAACAAACATGAAGAATTAGATACCGTTTGTTGTTTAGTCATGTCGTAGTTTGTTCGTGAAACGCTGAAATGCGAGACCTTCATGAGGCCTCGTAGTTTCGCGTACCACGAATCCGGTTTGTTTCTCGGGGCTGGCACGATGACAACGAACGGGGAGAAGAAGAAACGAACTTGAGGAAAGAATGGCTTCGAGCTACGACCCGGCCCTCCAGCCCCCTTTCGGCTTCAAACGGCATAGACGCCCTAGGTTCGAAAGAAATGCTCCGTCCTGTGAGTTCGGGGGTCTGTGCAGGTCGAATTGGTCGACTACATGACTTTCAAGAAAAAGTAAATTATTTGGAATTGATTTCCGCGTCCCGTCTTCTCGATTCTTCTTCCCCGTCGTCATCTTCTTGTTTTGTTGTCGTCCTCGCCCTCGTTGTCGTTTGCTCTCTAGGTGGATGTTCGGAGCAAACGAAATGAAACGGAACCAAGGAATTGTCTGAGTCCGCATTCCACAAATTTCGGAGCGACAAAGCACGATGATAGCGTGATTACTCGTGGAAATTTTCTTCAGACGAAATGGGAGCGCACCCTCGTCTGCTGCCAGCAGACGAGACGGGGAGAGCAAAGAAACTCCGCGCTCCGAGACAAAATAAAACAAAGGCAAGGGAGGAGGTTGCCGATGCCGAAATTCGATTTCACCAGGATCGTAAAATCGCGCCTGCGCGCCACCTGAGAATGGACATGGAAATTCACGAGTAGGCGAAAACTCGCAGGATCTAGAAATCGCAGACGCGGATCATGACGAGAGGAGAAAGAGGGTATTCCGACCATTTATAGTCAGTCATCATTGTGTGAGGAATGTGGGGGACGAGGCTGTCGGACAAGGCGAACGAGAGATGAGTCGAGCACAGCTACGATTGGCATTAACTGTAACCATTAGTCCACGAGGCCTTCCTCGTGCGAGATGGAATCTTGCTAAGCCCTGTGCGAATTTTTCTAGCTCCGAAATGTGCCATATCCATACAGAGGAGCTGTGCGACATACAGCGCGCTCGAGTATCAAACCCATTCCGTCTATTCTGGGTCTTCTCTGAATTGAGGAACGGAGTATCGCCCTGTTCTCAAAAGAATTCGGAAACTTTGCAGTCACTCGATTCAACGGGAAGATGAGAAGGTTCAAGTTTTTTACCCTTGTGAATTCGTACAGGAACGGTCGTCGAAAGTCACGGAGGGCTTCGAGTCCGCTATGTATCACTTTCAAGAGGAGAAAATCCGGAAAATGCATAAACGTATTAGTCGTAGTCAAACGGCGGTATGAGAAAGATATATATTAAATTATTAATATATATCTGATAGTGGAATGAAAATCTATCTATATACATTCATACAAACATGACTGAAATATATACACACGTACACACACAGTTACCATTTACAACACGGCGGTTCCGAAGAACCTATAAATGAGCTTAGCAATGTGTCGTCATCGTCGTTCATATAGTCTGAACCTTTCATTTACGGTAGGGGCGAGTTCGACAGAACTTTTCGAATAGCGGGGGGCCGACGCTTCCGAGAGGAGAGCCCGTAACCTCTGACTGACTGGTTGCTGTACAAATCGCAGCTTGAAGGAGAATTAGGAGAGAGAGACGAACACAAAAAACGAACTTTAATATCAATATAGGCTGTGATGATGATGCTTGACCGAGGTGAAGCTCAAAAGCGGAAGCACCGTAAAACAGGAAAAACAAACAAACAAACAACATCAAACCCTATCGAATCTACTGCCCCGAATTCTAGAGTTTCGCTGGGTCATCGCCTCACCTTTTTCGCGACCGGAGAAGAGGAAATCGAATGCTATCGAGATGACGCTACTGAAGCCTTCCGATACGATTCGGAATCATGAAAGGGTCGAAACGACTATTTGCGAAAACTATTATCATCCAATAAGTGACCGTAACTGTCTCATTGTACTTCGGTGTTCGATCGGGATAGCCAATATTTCCGAAGCATTGTAAAGGCTGGTCGGTTCCGATCGATTGAGAGGTATGAGAAGATCACATCGCTGAATACGCGATGAGCAAGTCCGATCACGCGAGGACATCTGATCGAAAGTTCTTCTGAAACAGGCGTGTTAACTTCGAGAAATAATGATGAATCAATAAAACTCGCTCATTTTCAATGATCCTATTGCCCCTGATATTCCTCAGAGACGTCGATCAAGGTGAGGGAGCTCCGAATTGCGACAGAAGCCTCTCCACAGAATCATGGAAAACGTTGTGCAATTGTCGATATAACGAAAGTTGAGCAAGCTCTAGCTCACCGCATCGGATGCCTCCAGCCTCCTGGGCCAGACGGTCTCGGAACTCCCTGAGGCTCTAGAGTGCCAGGGACGGTGCGACGAACTAGATCGGAACTCGATCCATCGAATAGCGCAGGACGAGCCCGTAAGTATTAGCAGGTTCTGGGCATTCGATGTCCATATGCCCGATTGAAACTCGACGGTGAGCTTCGGCGCAATCGATCAAAGCGTCCTCCAACTTTCGAGAAATGTCGACACCTCGCGGATGGAGTGATCTGATCTCCTCAGGCCCGCGCGTTCAGGAAGGGTTGAAATCATGGAACGGAGATGTCTTTTATCGCGATCGAGCTCGACCACTAGCGGAAGAACTCAGCAGCAGACAGGAGCCGTGATAATGAGTTGGGAGATATATTTGTTCCTGTGGAGGTCGGACGGCCTTTCTATCGTCATGATGCTCTTAAGATGATAGCTCTGGAGACACAAATAAGAATAAGGCAGTAGAGTATACTGGGAAGAATTTAGGGTATAGTACCACCACCTTGGTAATTGATCTCGAATACGTCATTGAAAATAATTTTGCTCTCGTGTTCTTACTGACGGGCTTGCCCTGGTTGACTCCGTCGCTCATTGTGTCCAATTATTAAGAAGGAGAAGCGTATAGTCGAGGTCACTGCGAGGGTGTCTGAAACGAGCTTTTCCGCCCACAAGACAGAATCGAAGTAGCAGCTCGAGTTGATGTGGTCGGATACCAGAGCTCGTCACCCTCCCGTCGCTCAGGTGCCGAAATTTCGTCAGAGCGAACGGTAGAATTCGGTGAGATTTCCCGCAGCAACGCCCCCTCCACCACATCGATTCGGTCGAGAGTGCAGGAATTGTGGAGGCAGCTTAGGACTCGATATTGAATGTTTTGGGGGTCAAGAATGTTTATTCCCACGGATGTGTTGAATCGGGGCCACTGCGGCCTATTTGTTGGCCCAATGATCTCAAATCCTTGCAGTACAATGCGATCCCGGAGCGCCAGAGAGGTCAAAGTTTCCAGTCGGGCACCGCGTCCGTGTCTCGAGGCTATTCGTGTCCGAGCAGCCTTCAGCGAGGCGCATGCGTGGTAACTTTCCGGAAGTTTTCTTGCTTGGCGTCGACACTTCCCATTGACATCGAACGCAGTAGATCGGGATCGTTTAGGGCAGAGGGAAAATCTTAGAACAGACTGTTCATACAAAACATCACTCCCCCCCTGAAGAGATCCTCATCCTTCGCGCCTTTTGTGCAGATGGACCTTTCGCTACTATCCTCACCTTAATTGTCATGAGTCATGAAGTCATGAGTACCAGAGCCTCATTGATCGGTGGGATCGTGAATCTCGGTGCTCCGTCAAAGTAACAAAATGATATCCATCGAGTGCTGTGAGCTCGACTGGAAGTAGATTTCTACCTCAAAGAGGACTGGGGAGGTCGATCGATGATTTGGAAGGAGTTAGAAGGACTGTGTTTTCGGAAAGTTACGCTCTCCGCTGAAAAGTTTCCCACAAATAAAGACATCCATGGGCTGCTGAAGTGGAGATCAGGAGACAAATAGTGATTCATGCGATCCGAACAGCACGTCATCCACTAAGAACATTCTCTCGTAGGAGGTCCGCAAGAGGCGGAGAGCGAATCTTTCGAGCATTTACCACGCACTTTGCCTCAACGTGAGTTTGGACGCACGTTCAAAAGCTCACGACTGGATTACTGTGTTTGAATTTGATGCCGAGTTATGGCAACACTGGTGAGTCCCGGAGGAGCATCGGCGAGTGCTCACATCCTTTCAGGTTTCGTCGTTTGCGCCCCTGGTATCTGCGATCGCGGGAACGATGCTTGATTCTCATCGCTCCTCCGAGTCGGTCGATACGGAGCAAGCTCGAGCCTGTTGGGACTTCTGAGCCCGCCTCTTCAGCATCGAGAACTTCCTTTGAGGCATCCTTTTGGAGTTTGGAAAATCGACTGCTTCAATATGGAACTCTAGTTTGAACTCGTTCTCAATGAGTTCACTGAACACAAACCAGACTGCGAGCATTCATTTCGTACCACGCATCACTAACGAGACAAGCCTCACGTGCAGACCAGGAGTCTCGGTGAATCGCGGAACACGGTTTTTTAGTTTGAGTAACTAATTCGAAATGTTCAGGAGCCCTCGCTCATCGAGCTCCTCGTTGATATATCATCACTCGTTCTTTTTGCGACTGCCGTCTCATTCACGCAAGACGAATCAACGCAGTGAACGTGCAGAACGGGGTGTTCGTGTCGGTGATCCAATTAGACGTACAGTTGCTCAAATTTCAATGATGGCGCTTGGGAACTCTCGGAAAGATCCGGAACGAAAGGTTATTCCGGCCACGGAACAAAGTCAAACTTCTCGAGTCTCGATCGAGGCGACAGCACGGACGGACACGGTGACGAAGGAGCCTATGAGAGGGCACTCGGAGACAACTCCCGAATGCTCCAACGTCTTTTTTGAGTAGAGGGAAATAAATCCTCGACCGTTCCTAATCGCAGGACGAGCACACCAACCGTGGTATGAATGGTTATCGATCCTCCATTTTTTATTGAATCGATGTCTTTTACAGCGCCGATCGAGTCTCATACCTGCGAAGAAGCAGCTAGAGGAGAAGTCCGAGGATAGCATCGATGTGTACGACGACGGCAAAAGCCTCAGTCGAGATAAATTGGCGGCGGCTTTTGTCTGCATGCTTGGGTGCATGATTCAGTGTGCGTCACTGACCGTACTTCAACCATTCTTCCCAGGAGTAAGTGAGACTATCTGACGCGTTTAAATGCAAAACTAATCACTGCCCGTTCCTCTTCCCCTTTCTTTCCCGAACGTCTGATTGCTAGAAGTGTATATCCCCACCGCGGCAGCGACGGAGGAAAGTTCCGGAGGGAAGTACTTGAATTATGTTGCCGGCTCGGAAGCCGCCTTGGAATCGGCGAAGCCGACCCCGAGGTCTGTCACTCGCGGCTCATTGCGCCGTGAATGTTCAAGCTTCAGCCGATTGAGCCCATAGAGTGTCCGGGTCTGACCGTGGGACTCCCTCCTGGATGAGCACGCCAAACGGTCAACCCAGCGAACGTCCGGGTCTCCTCATGGCACACAGAGCGGTAGCTAGTCGATTCTGACGTTGGAACTCAACGCATGAGCTCTGATGATGTCAGACACTGCCGTCCTCGAAGCCCATTCGTAAACTCGGCGAAGACCCTTTCGTGCTCCCGATATCTGTGTGGATACTCTCAGAAGATCATCGCTGCTCGCTGATACATCGATCGAGATATCTGACTCTTTATTCAACTATGCGCCCAGGTCGCTCAATCTCGGGGGAACGATGTGACGGAGATCGGGATCGTATTTTCGGTTTACCCCTTCATCGGTTTCATCTCGAGCCCGATCATCGGAAAGATAGTGAGTTCCGAATCAGAAACCTCCGCCGTCAGCGGCGGAGTGCCGCCCAAATGGGCACGATTGGCGAACAAAATAGAGTTTGCTCCTGAGAAGAGCACATCCTCAGCCTTCCTTTCGCTCACTTCATTCCAGTTATCGAAAGACGGCTCGACGAAGAATATGCTGATTCAAGGACTACTATTGGACGGGATCTTCATTTGCCTCATGATGTGAGAGCGTTTCGCACCTACATCTCTAGAGTCGAGCAGTTCTGCCGGCAAGTTCTGCAGGAATGCAGGGCGCTCATTTTTTCGTCGGCATATCAAGGTAGGCTCCAACTAAAGCGCGGGTTTTCAGTCCGACGACCTTCCTCAAGAGCCCGGCCATCTTCTTCTTGAGCACAACTGCGATCCGCGCCGTAGAAGCCCTCGGATATTCGATGTCGCTGACATGTTATTATACATTGATTTCCACCGAGTTCCCTGACGATATTTGCATTCTCATTGTGAGTAGAGACCCAGTCTCCTGTGAAATCTTTTCCGTCCTGCGTTCTATTTCCGGTGGACTCTTCTCGTCTGAAAGCACTAGGAAACTTTGTGAAAAAGCTGTCTCTGCGGGGCTCGAAAGAGCTGCATAATCAGGCTATAGAAATTGCCTGGTGAAAAACTCTCCCTCGAACTTCTGAAGCGCTTGTAGAATGGCTCGTCGTTCAAGCGTCAGGAGAGCTGAGAATCGGCGCGTAATGACTCACGGATTGATTGATTTTCTTCCAGCCCCTCGTCGAGACCTTGTTCGGTCTCGGCGTGATGCTCGGACCCGCGATAGGTGAACTCCTGTACAAGGTCAGAGCGTGTCCAGAGGAAGAATATATGCGTATGTGCCCGGATAAAAATGAATAATCTCGTTTCAGATCGGAGGCTATTACCTACCCTTGATGACTTTGGGGATCGTCACAATATTTTTCGCGGGTGTCTCCTACATGCTCTTACCGAAATGGGCTACAAAAATCACGGTGGGTCATTCTCCGGTGTATCCTCGCCCGGGATACGGAATAACGACGATAAATATGAAATATGATTGATGAGTGATCGGAACGGTAGATGAAAATCGAGAGTCTCTCCGTCCGGAGAACGGATGACTATCGGATTCGAAGATATTTCGTCAATTGATAGAGGACGCGAATTATCCAAGAGAAATTTTCCCGAGATCACTAACAATGAGCAATCCTCGCCGAATACCCCCCCCCCCCACCCGCTATCACCAGATCTGCGCTGACAAAGATGAAGCTCGCAGCGGAATGGGAACTATCTTGAGAGATCCGCGCGCTCTGTGGAGTTTGCTCATCGTGGCTGCTGCCTGCACCGCTAACGGATTCAATGTCACAACTCTGGCGTTATACGTCAAACCGGTACGTGCCGGGAAAGCCGTAATTCTCATCGAGTTTGTTTTCTTTATCATGGACGAGTCGGATTCGTTAAGGTCGAAACTGATTTAGAGTCTCTTGGATTTTCTCTCGATATGATTGATTTCGCTTTTGAATTCAGTTCGGTCTCTCCACGGTCATGGCCTCGGTCGTCTATACCACGTACGGCGTTTTCTACGCTATCTTCAGTTTCATATCCGGCTTCTTGTGCAAAATAATCGTGAGTTGACTCTCGAACACCTGATTGCTTCGCTTTTCCGGCTCTCCGTAATCGCAAATGTTAGGCCGATACTTCATCGATCGACGGGTATCTAAGACAATGCAAAAATCAGGCAAAGAACCGTTCGAGGGATACAATTCATTCTAGCGAGACTGCCGGGTTATGGTCATCAGCGGAGCTCTGTGCCACGTGGTAGGCATGTGTCTGTTGGGACCGCTACCCTTCATCCCGATAAAAACGTAAGTAGCCCGAGAGATTCGTATTTTTTATTCCTTCATTCCTCAACCCTTCCGAAAATGAATATTCACCTGATGTCGATCGGTTCCGGACCGGGGTTTCCCTCCAAATATGATTGACTTCGTTCCCACGTCACGTTTCGCCTTCGCCCCGATACAGTAGCGTGAGGCTCATCATCTTGGGACAAGCTCTGATCGGAATCGGTCACGGAGGCATTTTCAACTGCGCGTACATCCATTTCTTGCGACACTCTGTGTAAGTCCCTCTGTCCCATCGTCAATGATCTGCTGAATAGTTTCGCTCGGCTCAGGAGTTTCTCAAGGCCGATTGCTACCGCTCCACAGGGATAACCTCGGATTTCCCGACAATGATCGAACCTACGCTCTGGTAGCGGGCCTAGTATCGACGGCTTTTTTCTTCGGCTCTTTCGCCGGACCGATTTTCGGGGGAGTCGCCATGGACACCATGGGCTACAAAGTGGGGACCCTTGTGATGGCGGGAACGGTGCTCTCCGTGGTAAGTGCGTGAGGAACCCGTTATGCACGAGCTCATAGATTGGGGAGGGAATCCCTCAGTGAGACAGAGCATTTCCATTGCAGACGGTCCCCTTGACAATTTACTACGTTTTCGACGTTCTAAAGCCTGAGATCCTGAAGCCGGTCGGCATACGAGGAATGAGTTTTGATCTGGGCCAGGCACGGAGAGTCTCTCAGGCCTGATTGAAAAACGCCCTCCCAAAGCGCTGTGTAATTAGTAAACGCCCTGTGCATACATTCTTGAGTACGCCACTTCGCGGGGTATCGAATCCTCGGATACCACCAGCGATATTCATTCATTCGAATCGGAGTATACGCACCTGTGACGTTGACGATGGGCTCTTATATGAACTTCCAGTCCAGAACTGGGGAAAATGCATGCGATGAAAGTTGTTCCCTAAATGTTCGACTGAATGGGGAAGAGTTCCCCTCTCCGGTATGAATAAAGGAAGATGCGTTTCTGATTCGATGTCTCTTGCGGGGATCACCGCTCCATGCGGTGCCAGGGTCTGGATAGGTGACGGCAGCCTTTATAAGGATCAGCTCGAAGCTCAAGGCGAGCTTTGGATCTGAATTTCCCTACACCCTTGAGAATGCCCAATCTTTCTGGGAAGGAATTGTTCCCCGAATCTAATGAGCATACTTTGCATCAGAATAGGTCGATGCTTCGGTCATGCGGTGTAGCTTGCAGTCGATCTTGGACCTTGCTGGTGTAGCTTGCAGTCGATCTTGGACCTTGCTGGTGAGAGCTGCGATGAAGACCCCGACAGAAACCCCACGGGAGGCCAAAGAGTTGCCAATTGTTTCGCTTGGAGACTCTGCGAAAATTTTCGGGGAAAAGGTATCCCCGATACACTACTGTTCCTTCTGAATAAAGCGATATTGAATTGAATTGGTTTCCGTGATTTCGCTTGTCGGTGACGTCCCTCTACTTCTATCGTCGGAATTGATCACTTCGGCGTCGCACGCGACAATGGCCCTCGTCTGTGCGTCGTTTAACCATGTGTTTTTTCTTTCTCCGCGCCACTCCATGGGGCGAAACATCTAGGGGTTCTAGGGGGAAGTGAGGGCGCGGACGATTCTTCGAGGGCGCGATAGGCGCTAGAGCTCGATTCCATCAAAAAATATCACGCGTCCTTGTCTCGCAGTGCAGGTTTCGGTCATTTTATCGACATTCCACGGTGTGAAGGTTCGGTACGCTCTTTACCCTTGCCACTTTGAGTAGTTTGTCACAGGTTTTATACGTGCGTTCTCTAACCCCGTGTCCTCTGTCCTCGTTTGGTGTTCAGCCCTAGTTCACATCGGCGGGTTCCGCTCACTGGAGTTCGGACAGAGTTCGCGATCCTCATAGTTCAGCGGAGTTCAGCAGAAACACGATCGGGACCGGTCTCTCAATGAACGAGAAATGGCAAGAAGCAGCTACTTGAGGTAGTGGAGATCATAGGAGGGAGCTTCCAAGGCTGTACGTTATCGAAGTTCAGAACCTGATTTCTGAAGGCGGGAGGCTTGACGCGGAACTTAACGATTCCTCAAAGTCAGGATCTGGATCCGATCTTCCTGCTTTCGATCCATCCGAATGCCGATCCCGTAGAGCGCCAACACGGATCCAGGCTCCCCAGACAAAGCCGCGCGGTAAAAAGGTGGCGACAACATTCGATTATTCTAATCTGATCAGCTTTCTCGTCATCACACTGGATCGACGGACATATCGGAGATTACGATGCTAAAGATTGTACGCAATTGTTACGCTCACGTAACCTCCCACCGGTAGGGCGCTCCCGACTTATTCGAATCTCCATCGTAGGGTTGAGTCTGCTCCCTTTTATCTTCTTCATATAATTCGCCCGAGCAGCTCTGCGGTAGGAGATCTCTCCCAGGAGCCTCCCGCATCCCGTCTTCTCATTTACCGAGAAGCCTCCGTGTCCTCCTTTCTTCGTCGCGTCTTGCGGGGCACTCGAAGGGAATCAACGCTCGCAGATGAATGCCGATCCTCGTGAACAGTCTTCGATGGAGGAGCAGGTTTCGAGGCAGTCCCCAAACGATGAGCAGTCTCGGATAGACGGGCAGCCTTCAGCAAATGAGAAGTCCCTGCCGAGCTCGCTCTTCAAACGGATTGTTTACGGTATTCATTCGTGCCTTCCGAGCGAGCTATTATTGTTCATGAAGCGACCGATATTCCTCATGTATTTAGAAGGAACCGGATCGGACGGGAGAGTTCCCAAGGCTTCTCGAATTTATTTTGGTCGCGTTTGCCTCACGAAGTTTCCAGAAACTTTCTTTGTGATCAGCCCGACGCCGAACAAGCCAGATTCGATTCACCCACTGGTCGGAGACTCTCCTCTGGGCCTTCGGATTCCAGAACAGAAGTGCGTTCAAGACCTGGGAGAAAATTACATCTGCTGTGAGACAGACAATAAACTTTCGCTCGTGAGGCGAACTTCTTCCCGGAAGCCGTCTTCCTCATTCTACCGAAAAGATGTACGGAAATAGTGTCGGCTGTTGATCAGGCCGCCTTGGAGTAAAGGTGGGCTGCGACGTCAGTTCCCATCGAAGGGGTCCTGGAGATGCTGGCAATCGTTCGAAAACAGTTTTGGGAAATTGAGTCACTTAAGCTGCTAGTTTGACCATCGATCGACCATGCCTTCGTTCCATCATGTCTTCGTGACACTTTGCCGATCTTGTTCCCGGATAACCACATGAGCCGAACTCCCGGCAGGGGCATAGGAACTCCAGCGCTGGGATCTGCCAATTGATCCGCCCGGCGGTTTCCTGCGCCGTTGAGCATCCCCAGGGCCGGAACTGCCGAGCGACCGCGCCAGAGCGGTGGAAATCTGCGGGTTTTCTTCTGACGACTCTCCCATGGTGGGACGACGGGAGTTCCCAAGACGGGGCAAATTAGTCAATATCGCCCTCCTCGTTTGCTCCTCTAGATGCGAAAATAAGCAGAGCGTTATGGGTTATGGAAACCACCTTACATATAACCCATTCTTCGAGTCAGTTTTCATTCCGCGGAGAAACACCTCCATCCCAAAACTAGAAGCCCCATGTAAACCCCCGCATTTTCGGAAGAGATCTGCGTTTAATATCCGCAGTTCATATGATCGGTGAATGTGACCTCTCCTGCGGTCAAACACTTCGCGAGATCATAGGGGTCGTGTAATCCGCCGCCGAAGACCTCATTGGAACTCAGCCGTATGGATTAGTATAATCGGTCAGTTGGACTTGACGGAAGCTTTTCTAGCAACGACGACCCCGCACTCGAGTAAGATCGAGCCTGAAGCCAGAAAATAACTCGCGCGCGATGGATCTGGCGCCCGAATGCTACACGCCGCGCACGCGGACGTTATCTCCGCGGCCGACGTAATGTGACTCCAGGAAATGGAAGATCAGAAGTGGAGAGAATCGATAAACCGGATAGTGATGAGGTGAATCATCAATTCGCATCTTCTGCAGCCCGCCCTGATCGAACTGAATCACAGGAGGCCGGCAAGCGGGCAGCCATTCAGAACAGGTGTATCCGAGCTATCGCCGTCAGAGAAACCCGCATCCTGCACAAACAGCTTCAAGCCAGGAATACCCAGCAGCAAAACTCGAGTCAACAAAGGGACCTCGATGAATTTTTAGTCTGTTTTTTCGATTTGATTTCAACAATTCTCAAAGGCTGCCCGCAGCGGAAGTCGCGAATGGTTATGAGTTATGATTAATAGCTCATGGTGATCCGTATATAGGTGTATGTATTATCAGTGACTCTTAAATGATTGAACTGGTGATCTCACTGCTCTGTTAGGCTTCTCGACACCCTATGGGGATTCATGTGTATGCTGCACGAGGAAACTCTCAATGGCAGAGAGACATCGACCACTCCCCTCGGCTCCTTCAACATTCTCATTCGTGTCGATGCTACAAGAAGACTTCGAGCGGCGTCGTCCTTATTCCCGATGCCCCCTTTGGAGCTCTAGGACAGCGTAAATTATATATGGATATTTTCGGCGTGACCCTCAGACAGGCGGATGGGCGGAATGCCAGCCGGCGATGTTGCTTTTGCTGATTCTAACAAGCGACCGCTCTCCGTGAAGCCTCACTCTCCCTCGCAACAGGTTCCGAGGCTCCTGTTCCGTACATCATGGATCTGATTCCGTTGACTCATAGTCAACAGCGAGCTCATCCGATACCACTTCGCCGATTCAGCTTACTGCTTAGCCTAGGTCCAATCTCGGAGGTCTCCCACAACGAGAAAGATTCCCGTTCAATCATCCGGGGTTATGCGAATGTGTCCGGATTAATCAAGGCTCATACCTGCTTCATATCGCAGGGAGCTGTGATCGAAAGTCCATCATGGGAACGCTGTCAGAGAGCCCGACGCCAGCCTTCCCGGGGGGGGGGGGGGCGATGAAAATTCCCATCGGAACCCATGCGAAGTGTAGACGCGTCAGACGGTCGAGTCAACCGCTCTCCGCTTTCGGCATGGCCAGATGGTCCTCGGAAGATCTAGATCTCCTCACGCAGACCATCAACGACTCACGGATTCTTTCCTCGGTGTCCGCGGCCATAATCATCGCCGGAGGACTAGCAGCTGCTCGATTTCTCTGTCGTGGAACATTCCTCGCATATCCTGTCGTTTCTCGTCAAGATTCCAACGTTCGCAGCTTACTCAGCTTGGGCGAGGCTAATTCTGCTAGCGTGAGCTCGGAAACAGTCGCGCAGCGGAGTGATCATTGGCTTCACAGTCGCGCCACGCAAACGGCACGATTCTCTATCGTTTCCACGGCGCCCTTCTCGGAGAGTCTGCTTCGATGGCTTTCCTCGCGCTGTGCGTTCCGAGTTTGCGATGACGAATCTCAGGGAGCCGAGCGAGAATAGGAAACAATTGCACGCGATCACATTGATTATTATTAGAGCCGCCGAAAAATATTTTGGATGACCGAGGAGACTAGTTAGCCGAGAGCATCAGATGCATTAGTCTCTCTTAGTTTTCCGGAGACTCGCTGTTATCGTGTGTGTTTTCCCCATGTTTCCGGTCTGACCAATATTGCGAGACGTTGCTTATCAGCAGAACTCCCAATCGTTTCCTCGGCGACATGTCTGCGCTCTCCGGAATGCCTACTCTTCGTGACATTTATCCGATACGACTTGTCTGGATCGAAACCTTGAGCGCTAGCTCCCTTGTTTGTTCCTGCTCAAAT